AATAAAATAAATAATAGATAGACTGAATATATCATTTGTTTATGTCATTTCCTATTAGGCTCAAGGAGAAGCCTAATTCAATTAAACCCTCTTCATTAATAACCTGCTAAAAAAAGGATGGGGAATAGCATGGAGTTGCCTGTAAGTGATACAAAAATGGATTTAGGCTGATGCAGTTGATCTTACTTTGTATCTGCATCAAGTTCTTATATGCAGGTTACATTCAAAGGCATGATTATCACAAAAGTAATTCAGTACCTAACTGCGCTATGAAAAGGAATCCCAATGAAGTTGGGAGAACTAAGAAAGAGAAACAGAAATAATACTGTTACGACAAACACAACGAATTAAGAACAAATCAAATAACACAATAAAAAAGTAAACACGACACAAAAGAAAAATACAAAGATTTGACGTGGTTCGACACAATTTGTGCCTATGTCCACAGTGAAGATCCGGCAAAAGGTTTCACTATGTGAAAATCAGGAGAGTACAAATTTCAGCCCCTAAACCCTAACTCTCGTTCTCACCCTCCAAATTTCAGCCCACTCCAAACCTTAAGCACCGTTGTATATTGGGCTACAAGAGAGTACTAAATGGGTCCACAGCCCACACAAAGCTCAATCATCAGATTGTCAGGTCACCCGGAACCAAATTCAAGCCACAACATCACAAATATAACTAAAAATGATCAAAAACTGTAAAGTGGAGGGAATGATAGTACACAAAATTGCAAACGAAACGGCCAGCATCATTGGAGACCATCACTTCATAGCCCATTCCTGCTAATGCCTTTGGAAATCTCCTCAACTGGAAGAGAAGTCTGCATGCACTTTAAAACTAGAAAACATTACAAATAATGTAATATAATTGGAAGGCAAAAGTAGGATACAAAAATCAAGCACAGGATAAATCAAAACACTCCTCCTACAGAGCCATTCACATTGGTTGGATTACGATTTACATTCAAAAATAGAGAGGCGATTGCCAGATAACCCTTCAAAAGATATGTTCCATCACCAAGACAACATGAATTGTGAAATCTAGAGAGAATTGAGGGGGGTTTTTGTTTCTTTTATACACATACTTTAGGTGAGTTGTTATGAGAACCTCAGAATTGGTACGTGACCATTCAATAATGTTCTTTGAGTATTGGTAGAAGAATTTAAAGGAGTAGCTGTAGAGATATCATCACATGATAGTGTATTTATGCAATTATTATTATTATTATTATTATTATTATTATTTTTTAAGGTGGTTTTTAATGGAATTTTAAAACATATTATGATTTATTAAAAATAAAATAAAAAATTTAGAAAAAGAAAATTAGAAACACTTGAACCCCAGTCAAAAATTATATTTTTGTATATAATATATATATGGAAGGTAAGTAGAAATCACACATATACCCATGTTTCCATAGATACTTGAACCCTAAACTTTCTTTTGAGGAGTAAGAAGGGTCCATACGGCTGGATCTTAATTAGAATTTTTTTTTTTTTAATGAACCAGAAACCGTCCTTAGTGGTACTTCATCTTATGTGTTTGACTTTGATACTGGGTTGAGGTTGAAATTGATTAATTGACAAGTATGATGAAACCAGAACAGATTTTTGTCAATTTATGAATTAAATAATTAATCTATTTTCTTAAAAATAAGAAAATCGTTAAAATGTTCTTTCAAATAAAGATTAATTATAAGAAACTGATATTAGTACTCTAATATATTCCTCGCTCTAAATTTGACAATTATTAATATGCCCTCTTATCTACAAAATACTCTCTTTACAGGTTCTTTTGATCACTTTATAATTGTTCAAATGTCCGCCGAAATGAAAACTCTAAAGGGATGAAATTTAAAATTGCAATGCCAAAACCACCAATATTATTCTTAAATTGGTAATGCAACAAGCAAGTTTAAAAATTGAAAGGGGGTGAAATTTGGAATTGGATGGGGGAGGATGTTGCACACCACAAACCCTCCAATCTTCCAATATTATTGCAACTCACCGAATCAACTCATCTGATCTCTCCCTAGTCTGTTATCTTTGCTTCTTTAATTTGGTGTCTACTCTTATGAATATATATATATATATATATATATATATATATTTGCATCTTTTATTCGCTCTACTCTTTTTGCCTTTGTGATTTCTCTCAAAAACATTTATTTAAGAGAATGAAATATTATTTTTCATAACATAGGTGTAATGTTTCAAGTAATTTTTTTGAGCAGGTAGTTAATTTGTTTCGTCTTGTTGGAGTTCAATGTAATGGGTTCTTGATGATGGTTTCATTAAATCTGTTTGCGTAGTGTTAAAAGTGAAGAGAGAACATATGAAAAAGAGAGAGAAAATAATATATATATATATATATATATATATATATATATATAATGAATGAAAATTCATCTTTGTAGAAATAAGGGAGAGGGCAATATAGTCTTTTTATTTTAATAATATAGTGAATTGGAGTGTCACAATATCAACTCCCCTTCTAGAATCTTTAAGTGCATCCGGTAAGAGTGATAAAATTTGATACACTTTTTTAGAATCTTCTTACAAGAGAGAAGTATTGAGAAAATATAAAAACGCTTACAAGAATCTATTTTAGAGTAGTCTAAATGTTATTATGTGACTAAATTGCACTAAAGATCTTAGATATCTAAAATAAGAAAATTAGATTTTTGTAAGAATATTTTTTAAAAAAGAAAATAAGGAGGTGAAAGTGCACTATAAATTCTTAAGAGGCTGCCTGGAACCAAGCTAGCAAGTTAGAGAATTCCAATCTCTCTATTGTAGCTTCATCCATGGGATAATGGTCCAGTATTGAGAAGACAGCTTTGGGCTGAAATTATTTTTCTTTCAAAGCAACAATGGGTAAACCGGTTAGTAAGAGATTTTAATGTCTGAAAATGTTTGAGGTTAGAAAAATGGAATCACCGCATGAAAGTTTTGGGAATTTTTGCTTTTTAAAAATATACTAGAAATTATAAATTTCTTTAGGTTATTGTACATTACCTATGTGCAGTAACTCAAACTTTAGCATTATTAATGATTTTGAAAATAAAACTTTTAGTATCATTTCCAAATTCATGGTATTGTTTATTATTACTTAATAAAAAAAAATGCTTTTTTTTATTTTTTTATTTTTACAGACATTACTTACTGAAAAAATATATATAAAAATAATTACTAACATTTTTAGGATAACCAAGGTAACCTAATGATAAAGCCGAGTGATGTGTCGGGCAGTAAATATATTGTTTTCTTGAGTCAATTAAGGAATGATCACATGAAAGATACAACATAAATATGATACTGAATCAGAAAACATTATATATATATATATATATATATATATATATATATATTGTTTTCTAGTGTCATTGTTGGAATGATCACATAGAAGATGATCACATAGAAGATGCAACATATATAGGATACAATTAAATTTATGATGTGTTAGTAATATTACTCAATCGCATGGAGAGAAATTTCAACCAGTATATACAATTTATTGTCCCATATTTTCTACTCTCACTGCCACGTCATTCGGCTTTGTTTAATTGCAAACTTTTTATTCATAGACTTAATGGGAATTACTTGACTTCGTCATCGGATGGAACTTAACTTTTTTACTAGCAATTAATTACTGTAACTTCTATGCAAGTTGCATGTAAAATTTTGATTCATAGCTTTTAATGAGCATAACAAAGAAAAAGGTGAAAATTAATTGAAGTACTTTTCAGGTAAAAGTTTTTTTATTTTTGGCTCAACTTAATTAAAATTGACTCATGAGAGTGATATGCACACTTTGTGAGAGATTTTAAAGTTCTGACCATCTAATTCCTTTAGAATTGTGTGCATTAAATCAATGGGAATTGATTTGAGTACATATAAATTCAACATTTTACAAACAATTGCATGAACTTTTTAAAATATGCAAATAACGTGTCTAAGTGATTAGGTTGCTCTCCGTATTCGAAAACTCGTGTTCAAACTTGCACCTTCCCAATAACCCGTAACATTCTTGTCATGAAAATAATAATAATAACTTAATGCTAACCATCAATAAGCAGAGGAGAAGTACAAGTCACCTATCCCACACACACTAGTGACCAATAAAATTTTCACCAATTTGTGTCCCTAGAGATTTTCATCGTTGCTTTTTTCGTTGTGCTAACACAAATGAAAAGGTCTTCAAGACACTTCAAAAATCTCCTGCTAGCTTACTTAGCTTCTGTTTATATTATCTACCTAAAAAATAATAAATAAAAAATAATAGATAGATTGAATATATCAATGTTTATGCCATTTCCTATTAGGCTCAAGGAGAAGCCTAATTCAGTTAAACTCAAATGCGCATATGCAGGTTACATTCAAAGGCAATGATTATATAACCAGAAGCTAATAGGAGATGCAGGTTACATTCAAAGGCATGATTATCACAAAAGTAATCCAGGACCTAACTGCACCATGAAAAGGAATCCCAATGAAGTTAGGAGAACTAAGAACGAGAAACAGAAATATTATTGTTACGACAAACGCAACGAACTAAGAACAAATCGAATAACACAACAGAAAAGTAAACATGGCACACACAAAAAACACAAAGATTTGGCGTGGTTTGACACAACTTGTGCCAATGTCCACGGTGAAGATCCGGTGAAAGGTTTCACTATACGAAAATCAAGAGATTACAAATTTCAGCCCCCAAACCCTAACTCTCATTCTCACCCTCCATTATGTGATTTTCAATGTCTCTCTCCATCCCACTCCAAACCCTAAGCACCGTTGTATACCAGGCTATAAGAGAGTACTAAATGGGTGTCCACAGCCCACACAAAGCTCATTCATCGATTGTTGAGTCACCCGGAACCAAATTCGAGCCACAACATCACAAATATAACTAAAAATGATCAAAAACTGTAAATATTAAGAGGAACTACAATTTACTCACAAATAATTACAAAAGTGCTTGCACATTGAAACAATAGCTCAGAGATGGAAAAACATTGCACAAAATACATTAGATGAATTCCACAAATGCATTTTCAGTTCACATACATTTAACTGTTCATTAGAGCAGAAAAAATCGATAAGCAGCCATCCAACTTCCATTTACATGGCCAATAAGAATACAACCATATTTGCTTCTGAGCATAAAGATATGACAGGGAGTTGGTGGAATACTAGTACAAAGAAGCAAGTACCTCCAACAAAGAAGCAGCGAACTGCATTTGTGTCTCCTCATCAATAATCGAGAAGGGTGGCACGTGCACAAAGAGCGACTTGATCCCATTCTGCTCCGCAAAGTGGAGGGAATGATAGTATACAAAATTGCAGACGAAACGGCCAGCATCATTGGACACCATCACTTCATAGCCCATTTCTGCTAATGCCTTGAAAATCCCCTCAACTGGAAGAGAAGTCTGCATGCAGTTTTAAACTAGAAAACATTACAAATAATGTCACATAATTGGAAGAAAAAAGTAGGATACAAAAATCAAGCACAGGGTAACTCAAAACACTCTTCCTATAGAGCCATTCGCATTGCTTGGATTAGGATGTACATTCAAACATAGAGAGGCGATTGCCAGATAACCCTTCAAAATATACATTCCATCACCAAGACAACATGAATTGTGAATGGTGAAATCTAGAGAGAATTGAGGGGTTTTTTGTTTCTTTTGTGCACATACTTTAGGTGAGTTATTATGAGAACCTCAGAATTGGTACATGACCATTCAATAATGTTCTTGGAGTATTGGTTGAAGGAATTTTAGTAACAGTTGTAGAGATATAGTCACATCATCATCAACTATAGTGGAGATTCGGCTTACAATTGATAGGTGATTGAATATATTTTAGTTCGCTATTAAACGACAACTACTCGTGTTTCTACAAAGATCCTAATCAACCTAGTGGCAACCCCATCACTTGAGCTTCAATTTTACTTGTTTCATTATAAACATTCCAAGAGGAGAGAAACCCAAGGTGTAACAGTGTTCGTAGTATATTAAAGTAAGAAATCACTTAAAATAAAACTGAATGAGATTCAATGAGCTTCACTTTACATCCTTTGTTCTTCTCCCGCTGTTATTTTCTCTTTCCTTTTTTATTGTAAAAGGCAATTATCAAGGGTTGGTCCCACCTATTTAGGGTGTTGGGAGGGGTACACTACAGATGAAACTACTTTTGCCATTATTTTACACGAAATGGTTACTATTAGATGTTCTCACGTTTGTCACTGGAACTTTTACCATTACACCCAAGCAATAGCAGCTTTTTTTTCACTTTTTATTAATCCTATCCTTAAAAAAAAAAATACAGAAAAGAAAAAAGGAAAAACCTTTGATCAGATTACCTGCCACAACTCTATGAGGGCTTCATTGGCTTATATACTACAATATTTCACATTCATCCTTTCCTTAAAGCACAACCTAGGATCTTTTTTCCTTGATAAGTTGTTTAATATACGTAGGGTCAATTATTCACAACGAGGAAGAAATTGGAGATAATGTCAAATCATAAAGCACTTATGTGAAATTGGAGATAATGGATTCAATGAAGCACTTATGGGAAATTGTATAATCAATGTATGCCTCTTTTGTATAACTACTGGAACAACCATACTTTACGGGCTCTAAAGCATGGATATTCCTCGGACACGAGCACGTCCCCAACAAGGACACGCGTGTCGATGGGCCGGACACGTGTCCAACACTTCGTGGGAGTGTCCTAAAGTGTGGTCCAAGTTTTTATTTTTCTCAGACACGGCAGGAACACATGAGGGATTTGTCTTGACAGTCGGGAAACAGTGGAATTTTTTTTTGAAATATGTCATGGGTCAACAAGAAAATAATATAAAATTTAAAACAAAATATTACACCCAGCCCTAGCCCCAAACCATGCTCTCCACCAAAAGTCGATCGATCATAAATAAACACATCCATTAAAATATTGAAGTAGCTTTAGTTGGTCATGTGCACTGAAGACCAATAGCTGTTCCATTGAGAAAAGAGCGATGTGGTCCACTGAAGGCAATCCTATGAGAATAAAACTAAAACTAATATAAGAAAATATGATAACATGTCCTTTCACCGATGCCATGACCTTAAGTAGAAAGGCTTCATTAAGTTGATTTTTATTTTTAGTGATGCACACCTAGAGATCGTCAAGCTCATAAATCTAAACAAACAATTTACATGTGGTCATATATATAAGGTCTAGATTTACTTATTAAAATATATAGAAGGATACATATGAATGAATCATGAAAACCCATTTTACCTCTCGTGCTTGGAAAAGTTCATCTTCAGGAATAACAGGGACTTTCTGCAAACAACAAGAGAAATGAAATTTAATGAACTGAAATTGAAAGGTAACGCTAATATAATCTGCACGTGCACCATTGAAAATGTGATGAAATATATTTAACCTCAGGTTTCCATCCCATCTCATCTGGACAACGGAATGTTGCTTCATTGAAAGCTAGATGCTCAATAGCAAACTTTGTAATAGTGCCATTGACTCCAAAGTGTAGCTGAATATACAATGATAGAAAAAGTCAAAAAAGTTAGGTTCAATAGACCCCTCAACTCTTTAAACTGAACATTATAAAAATAAGATTTGATGCTATTGTACACATAACAGCTAGTCTCGTCAGAAAGCAAAAAGGTTTTGCCCATGCAATATGAAACAAGAAAATCAAGGACGAGAATTCACAAGTCAATAACCAATTTAAGATCTAGTGTTATACTAGTCCTCAGATAAAAATCTAGAATATGATTGCAACTATATTTAAAAAACAAAATCATCTTCATCTATATTCTATTATTTATTGTACATAGTCTATAAATTTTAAATTTCTTTCAAAAGTAATTGAGAGATCTTTGTTGTCTGTGATTCCACTCTATTTTAATTGAAAGCCGAAGTAAATAAATCAAATATAACATCTACTCATTCTCAGTTTTTATAATTTGAAAAGATGACCGCAGGGAAGAGGTTGGACTGTGGCTTGTGTTACGGGAAACAAAGTTAAAACAGAATTTTGTTTACGACTAAATTTTTCTATGCATCATATTCATTGAAATATATATGTCTTGTTTCCTTTTTAGATATTTATTTTAATTATCATTTGTTTTTTGGGGAAGAGGGGGTGCAGATGCTTTTGATATCAGTATAAGTATTAAAGAACATATGAGACTTGCAGCAAGGACGCTTACACAAACGAAAAGCAAGTCACTTTGTTGCATTATGAGGAAGTTCAAACTTATTATGAATAACGTGCTTCAGGTACAATGAGAATGGAGGCTTTAGAATACCATTTCTGGGATGTAATTTTCCCAAACACCAAAGGATATCACAGTCATGATACAAGCTTTGCAATTGGCAAATAGGCCCATTGTGGTTTCTAATTTGATATTGTTTCTAAGGAATTACTTTTTTTTTTTGTTTGATACAATAAGAATGGGGCCTTTAGAATACCATTTCTGGGATGTAATTTTCCCAAACACCAAAGGATATCACAGTCATGATACAAGCTTTGCAATTGGCAAATAGGCCCATTGTGGTTTCTAATTTGATATTGTTTCTAAGGAATTACCTTGTTTTTTTGTTTGATAAGTAAAAAGGTTGCTCCTAGTAAGTTAGTTGCTATCTAAACATTTCCTTTCAAAGCAAAAAAAAAGTGTGTAAAAACGAAAAATGAAAACTCGGAGCAAAAATTAAATCACACAATTCGCGAACAATTAACAAACCAGCAACTCACCCAAATAACTCTTTTGGAATCAGATGACTCGGAATCCTTCCCATTCATGGAAGATTGTAACATCTGGTATAAGGGAACAAGTGCTCCCTCTCCTGCAGTCTCAAGTGTGCTGCAGCTACCAAGGATCACCCCCTTAGGCACACCCCTTTTCTTTATATATGCTTCTAAGTTACTGACAGTCTTCTCGGTTGGATTCTCCGAAACTCCAGAAAATTTCTTGAAACCGGTTACATGTACGGTAACTGGTGGAGACCCCTCAGACCCCATTTACTAAGAATTCAGAGTAACTAAAATGTGTTATTGCATCAACTAGGAATTAATCTATGCATACCCCATCAAGCTTATACGCACTGAGTTAACCGGTCACAAAATTAAAACATGCATATAGTACCCCTATCACAGCTAGAATCATAGCTCCCTCACAGAATTCAATTAACACCCACTTCAAATCACGATAAACCCATAAAATTTGCTAATTACAACAGCAATTGTTATAGAGCATTCCAAGACTACATCCACAAAATTTTCTCATGTCCTTCCATGATTATGTTGACAACTTATGATGCATCCTACTATTTATGAGAAGAAACTGAAGAATCAAACAGCAATAACAAATTAACATACCCAATATTCTTAGTTCAGATAAAGTGTAACAACAGGGGCAGAAAAGATTGTACATTTGCAAAATATATATATATATATGATGTAAGCTCTTTTTGTTGGGATGTAAAATATTTTTCAGTGTTTGATTGTTAATTTACCTATTAATTTTAGATAAATTATTTTTCTCAATAGACTCAGCCTCAACCGGACGGATAGACTCTACCTCAACCTAAATCTTTGTCATACACAAAAAAATAAAAATAAAGAAAATATTTTATCTGCTAAAGGAACAAACGGAGCCGTATTCAACAACCCATTTCCAAAACCATCTTAAAGTTCATTTAAACCTTAAAATCCGATCCAGAAGCAAATATACATAGCATAAACTAATAATTAACAGCTTAAAGTCTTAAACCCATATTATACAGTAATCTCTAAGTTCACAATCCAAGAACCCCCATTTGATCACAGGGTCAGAGTCTAACTCGTCTAAAATCCAGACTAAAACCCAATAGGGATTAAGAGAGAGAAAACTGAAGCATGTAGAATCAAAGTATAATAATAAAGAAACATGTAGAATCTCAATTGAAGAAGATAATGAGCTTTTTAACTCACCTGAAATCGTCGAGAAAGAATGGTTAGATTGATTAAATTCTCGAAAATTAGTGAAAACCGAACCATAAGAAATTCTGTATATTAGAAATGAATTCCTAAAAATAGCATCCAAGTTTTAGTATTTTACATAGAAAAATAAAATAATAGAATATTACAGTGGCACAAACTTCTAAAATTGAGACGATCTAATCGGTAGCGCCAATTTGATGCCGTCTAGAAGTACGACAAACTGTCACTATTTTGATCAATGGTCACGGATTCGAGTTCGAATTTTTCTAAAAGCAGGGTGGTGAGATCAAAAGAAAAAAAAAAAATATATATATATATATATATATATATAAGGTGATAATAAAACAAAATTACATCATACAGAGTATCTCTTTATCATTTATTATTAAAAATCGTATAAGTAAGGGTTAAATCGAATTTTTTATTTTTTTTTTAACTTGAGTTCATATTTTGTACACAACCAATCCATTCTTTCCACTGTGGGATTTCTTGCCTTTACAAGTAGACTTGTAAATGAATGGAATTCTGATTCGAAACCAATATGATTATCTACATATGAATTGACATAAAATCTGATAATTTGTTATCTTAATGAATCGTATATGAATTATAGATAATTCGATCCGATAATGATCTGATATGATTAAAATTAAATTTTTTTTTTTTATTACATTACAATATAGTAATATGAATGTTAAATATATTAGTTATCTACTATTAAATTTTATATATTAATTATTTACCACTATATTTGTTTGGTTCAATAGTTATATTATGTATAGTTCTATATGTTACCAATTCTCCACTCCATCTAACCTTATAATTAGACATGTCAGTAAATTTGATTTTAATTTGAATCTAGATTCGATCCAATCTGAATCCGAGTAAAATAAGAGATAAATTGGAATATTCAATCCGATAACCCATTAGCAATCCAAATTCGATAATATGTTAGTTTAACGAATCGAATATGAATTTGATTGATCCAATTAGTTAACAGACTTATTTACAATATGATGAGCAGATGGGGGCTTGTACCATTTTAAATTGCTCTATCATAATTATTTGATGTCTTATGTAGGCTATGCATCTAATGTGACACCTCCTAATTTCAACATATAAGTTGGTCAGGCTTGTATATATAAAAATTAGGTGATATCAAACACTTGTTAATAAAAAAGTATAGAATAGAAAATGCAGTAATGAAAGAATTAAAGGCGGAATGAACAACTATCATTAAATAAACTCAACATTTTGAAGTAGAAAAGAAATTATGCTAGCTTGATGACGGGAAACAATAGAATCTTTGATCATGCAAACTAACGATGAACAATAACTTAAATCACTTAAATGTGTAAACGTGTACCAACGGAAAAATAATAAACTCTTGAAAAACTCACACAAAGGCCCTTTTAAGGGTTTTAAAATGTTTAATGTAAAAGCCGTGATGGTTTATGTGTGCGTGTGAATGAGAGTTTATATAAAAGATTAGAGACGCCTAGCAAAATTAGAAACCTTCTCAATTTGGTAGTAAAACATCCCTTTAATTCAGGCTTAAAAAGGTATTAAAAGTTGACTAAAACAAAACTTTTCTTGCATATTCAAGAGAAGGTGCAAAAAAATATAATTTACACCTCAAATTATATAATATCTCTAGAACTGAGGAAGAAAAAAAAATTGAAGAGATTCTAAAAGTGAAAGTGAAGTACCAAAGGATCAACTTAAAAAAATGAGTTATTCATTTATTTATTATTTTTTTAACTGCAACTTAAAATATGAGTTAAAGTTTCATCATCCACAGTTGTTACAACCACCACAATTAGAATAGCAGTGAGGGCATCAATGGTAATCTCTCAAGAAATTAAAAAGTATTTCATGGCACATGTCCTGTCCCAGCCTTAGGAACCTATCTAGAAATATATATGTAACATTAAGAATGGGGTAATGATGTAATGCTTTAATTGAAGAATATACAGACAAGTAATGTGATTAAAGGCAATAATTAAGGAAGATTAATGGAACTGTGAAAGAACAGTTGGTTTTATGGCTACTGCAAACCATACAAGGAATTAATTTGAGATGGACATCATTCATATAGATGTCACCATAGTCCATACCAATATAAAGGGTTGTAGATATTAGGTCTCTGAAAAATAGCCTTAACACTCCACAATTAATTTATTTCTTCTTCTTTTTTCTTTTTTAATTATAATTGGAGAGAAAAAATAAAGCTAAAATCATTCGGAGAGGAACAACGATTAAAAATGTTTGCTAATACGTTGTTGGTTAAAGAGCAAAAGGTGAAATCAGATTAACTAGTTACTAAAGTAATAATTAAAAGATGATCAATGTCTGAGACATGGCTTTTCTTTCAAATTTTTTATTTCTTTCAATAGGAGTTCTGGGTATAAAGTCATTATCTAGTTGAATTATTATCATATTTCTATATATTGGAGGAGATTTTAATATACATGTCAATAATGGAGCAAGTCTTTGGGATGAAATCAATTTCATGTTGAATTAGATTTTTATAATCTAATCATATTTTAATGTACATGTAAATGATGAGTGGTGCATCTTGTTGTTCCTCAACAAATATTAATAATCCCATCCTTACCTGCCACTAAATACCACTTCGTCGAGGCAGCCTAATTGACATCACCATCATCTTTGTCGTCATCATGTGATGTTTCTTTGACGATCATTTGTGAACTAGTCTTCCTTTTTATGATGGATACATATATTAAAATTGTAACATGTCTATATCATAACTTTATTTTCTTTCCAAAGTTGACGTGGTAAAGTAATTTGTTTAAACTAATAATAATAATAATAATAATTTGTTTAACCTAAAATTTTTAATTAGTCATGTAGATTAAAATATAAGAAAGCAAGAGATCTCTGATACTTGGTAAAGATAAAAAATTAAAAATTATAAGTCAAATAATTTACTTTTGACAGTTCAATCCAAAAGTATTAGACTCGTTACCTTTTTGGGAGTACATAGGCAAAAAGTAAGTCAGAAAACGTATACAAATCATGAGATAAAGTAATAAAATAAAAATCAGGCTCTAAATTTGTCAAAAAAATAGAGCCAAAATTTTGCAATGAAACCACTACGAAAGAACGCAGCAAACAGGAGCGACTCAAAGGCCAGGTTATTATCAAGGCAACAGCTCCAAAGTTACAATCATAAGACATTTAAAATTCCGCACAAAGTCGGAATAAAACCAAAACCGATCTAGATCTGAAATTTAGCCAGAGAAAAACAACATATTTATTCAAGAGAGTCGAAAACAAACCAATCAAGAACAGATCTAACTAAATGAAATCAAAAACGACGTAAAAAAATACACACGGAACGCACTTATTAAAACACGCCGAGTTTATTATAATCGTGGGAGGTAGTTATCACCTCCCCACTCCCATAAAAAGGAGGAAAAATATCAACTAGGCGGATGAAAGAAAGTAAAAAGAGAAAGGTAGAGAGAAGTGGGAGCGTTTTTGGGTCCAGTCCACTACTCTAATATTAACCATTATCATATATCTTTGTTTGAATTCTATATGAGTGGATTTGATTTTTAACGAATGAAAACTCATTTAAATTAGGTCTGACAGTCAAACTTAATTATCACTCAGATAAGTCTCAAAACTGAATTATTATAAAAAAATCTCACATTCTTGTATTTTGTAAGTACGATGAATCAAAACTTATAAATCATGTAATTAACTTCAAATAATTGAATTAAGAATCATTTTTCAACCAATAATTACACACTCAATATATATATAATTGAGAAAGGGTGTAGATAATGCCACGTGAAAGTTGCGTGTGGGGGACATGTTTAGGTAAATGATTCCAACCTATGAAGTACGGACACCGATACAAGACACGAGTACGACACAACACGATAAATTTTAAAAAATTAGGACACGACGAGGATATGCCTATAAAATAATATATATATATATATATATATATATATATATATATATATATATTCAAAATATAATTACTAGAACCTTGCACATTCATTTTCCTAATAACAAACAGGTATATATAAATACAAAATTGTAAATAAAACAACAACAAATAACATGACCAATTTTAATAATTTCATCTTTGTTATAAGAAAAACATAAACAAGACAAAATATAAAATAAATGAAAAATAAAATTGATCCAAATTTCAAATGAAGATGTGCAAAAAAGATATAGTTATAATGGGCTAAATATGTACATGAATAAACATAAATACTTTCAGTCTTTCACAAAGTGTTGTTCATATAACTTTAAAAAAAAAAAAAAATGTTTTGTTCATATATAGAGATAATTAAAGAAGAGGAGATTGAGAGAGGAAATGAGAGGAAATAAATTTACTGTGTAATACTCTGTTGTCTGAAATTGTTATTTTATTTTTTCAAAATTTTAATTTTAAACTTCTAAAAAATTATATTAGGTACCCATTTATTAAAAAAAATTACAAAATATATCAAGCCGTGTTCTCGCCGTATCTGTCCTCCGCATGTCTGAACAATGTCTACCCCGTGTTCGAACCAACCTTGTCTGACATTGTTACGGGATCCCTACTAAGAGTCTCCGTGAGTCATATATTCCAACCAATGGAAAGAAGTCCGTAGCAAGACGCCACATATGACATGTCAGGGCATGGGCGTCACTTTAAATGGAAACATTACGTTATGGCCAATGACGCATTCAACCATTTTGATTCTTATTCTCCTCAGACTCAGCCGACCCCACCTCCCTCCATTGTTACCAAAACACCCTCCACCTCTTGTCCAATCAAGTCAAGTTAAATGCGCCCATTTTCGTCAATTACAACACGCTTCTTCCTGACAAAGACCAAAACAATCATCTCCCACGCGGACCTGACTCCTTTATATGGGTCAACTTTATTGGAAGCACAGTTCACCAATTCATGCACACACACAGTTACACACACAAACTGATCTCTCTCTCTCTCTCTCTCTGTATGTGTTTGTTTCATTAATCAGCTCGGAGGGAGTAAGTAGTATAGGCCATACCTCACTTTCTCTCTCCTCTCTCTCTCTCTCTCTAAATTTGTACTGTAAATAATATGGAGGGAGGTGGGAGGAAGAGGAAGATGGAGAAGGAACAAGAAGAAGAAGATGAAAATGAGAAGATGGAGAAGTTCTTTGCTTTGATTAGAAGAACCCGAGAGGTCCGCGAAATGATGGGCATGGACGGAGAAAAGAAGAAAGCATCTGATCAAGAAGATAAGCCGCCGGTGGTGTCCGCGGTTTGGAATCCGACATTCCGGCCAGAGGATTTCGTCAAGCTGGATCGTGCTAATCCTCAGTCTAAAGTTCAAACTGATCATGATCATAATCATGATGACCATGCAATTACCCCACCAGTACTACCAGTAGTAGTACTAGTAGCAGGTCCTTCTAAGAGAGAAGAAGATGAAAGTCAAAAACAAGAACACGACAAAGAAGGAGGTGGGGATGGAGATGGCTTGGACCTCAAGCTTTCTTTGTAGCTAGTTGGGTTAATTTGGGGAATTCATGTGCATTGGGTGTTGAATAATGTAATTTGTTAGGTCATGTATTGGTTCAACTATTCCATATTATTTGATGGGTGGTTGAAAACATATATGTACATATACATATAAGGGACACTGAGCCGCCCCAACTTTCTCTCCCACCTCTCTCTGACTTTCTCTCTCTAACAGACACTCCCTTTAGTGGGACTGGGGGGAGATGAAGACCGTGTCCCACTACTGCAATAAACTCGACATGTTTCAGTAAGTGTTTTTCGTGGATGTTTTCTTACGCCGTTTTTTTGTTTTCTTCGTCTAGTTTTGTTTATATTCGGTTCGTTTTCGGATCACACTGGCGGATCTGTTGTTTTCTCTGATTAGATCTCTGGTCTGGGTTGGTTTTGGTTTTCCCCGCCTTGTTTTAATCTTTTTCTCCTTGATTTGATCTTCTGCGGGGTTTCTTGAGTGTTGTAATGCCTTGTAGTTGTAGCTTTGGAGCGGTTGTCGTGATGATGGCCAGACTTTTCGGTCTGTCTTGTTTGCTGCATTCTCCCATAGTGGTTCTGTTTGCAGAGTATTAGATTTTATTTCCTCCCTAAATCTAGAGCCTGTTCTTCATTTATTTGCTTTATTTTAAGATTTGTATGTTTTTTCTAACTTGACTTTATACGTTTGTACTATCATCTTGGCTTTAGGCCTTTGTACTTTTGAATGACAATATATATATATACACACACACATGCAATGTGCAACTTGTTCTTCTTTAATCATTTTCTGGTTAGAAATTTTAAAAGTTTAAACTGCTTTTGTTCCTAATTAATGGATTGTAATGGCTTTCCCACCACTAAGTCAGCTTACTTGACCCTACTTAATTATCACATCAATACAGTATTAGATTGTCAAGAATCGATGAACTATTAAAAGATATTTTAAAATCTGAATTAATTAGTTAAATTTTTGTTTTTTTTTCATATCATGAGTAAATTAAATATAACAATGACTTGCTTAAACATAACAATGACTTGCTCAACATAGGGCCAGTTTTGTGATTATCAAAATTTTGAAAGGCTAGGTGAATTTTAAAATACGAGACCTTTCTACGTAAGGCTTTCGTCACAATTATCCGATCTAGATTTACGAATTATTATAGATTATTCTTTGGTAGAGGGGAAAGAATTAGGGGAAGAAGGGCTCACATGAAATGAATGGAAAGATCGGGAAATTGGAAGAAGAAAGGATTTTTTGGTTAGTTCGCATGGAATTAGCTAAGCATTTTATTTGAACAAATATAGAATCAGAATGGCAAAAAAAATTTAAGAGTAAAATTTTCATTAAAATGAGCTCGAAATAATTTGGGGCCTTAGGTAAAAAATAAAAAGTGATATTTAAATAGTATATTAATATTAAATAATATTTATTTAAAAATCATCCTTTTAGTTTGTGAAATACAAAATTACTAATTAGATTTTTGTATTTAAGTTTGGTTAAAATATACAAATATATGAAATATATATATATACACAAAATTATAATAACAAAATTAATAAAACTAAAAAATAATTAAAGAAAAAGAACAATAGAACTTAATTTAGAATATCGCCTGACCCTTCGCTCATTAGAGAAGAGCTCCAATCCAGTACTCTTACAAATTCTTCAATAGAATGAAAATGAGTTCAAATTGAAAGTAATGAATATTAAGTGAAGAAGAAAGAGGAGGGGGACGACTTGTCGAGAGGGTAGAGAAAGTATGTGAGGAGTAAGAAAAAATAAAAAAATAAATAAAAGATAAAAGCTAGAAAAATAATATAAAAAGTTTCACTACTTTCTCAAATAACAGAAAAATAATAGTAGTATATAATATTTACTGAGAGAGAGAGAAAAAAAAAAAGAAAAAGTTATTTAAGAATATAAATTTTTGGAACCAATATTAAGATTTATGTGAGGAGGAGAGAGAAAGAGGAAGAGATAGATAGAAAAAAAAATAATAATAAATAAAAGAGAGGAAGACATTAAAAAAAAAAGAAAAGAAAAGAAGTCTTTTAAGTATATAAATTTTTGGATCCAATATTTCACGAATGGCTGGGGAGACATCATTTCTACTGTTGCTTTGAACAAAAGCAAAAAATCCCATCAAAGGTGGAGAAAGAGGTACACATTTGGACAATAATCCTTTTTGGAAAATATATATATATCTAACCATTCACTACAACGTACAATAACTTTCTTTAATTATATAACAAATAAAAAAATAAAAATTTTATTTAATTATATTTGATATAAATAAATAATTAAAAATTATTTGTTTAAACAATTTATTAATAGTGTTCCATATGTGATTATCGCTACACGTTAGAGAATATAAAAATATCATAAGAAATATTTACTCCATGATTGATTTAACGTCAGATTTGGCTAAATTTCTTGTGATATTTCAATATTTATGGTAGGTCATCATGTTCATAAATTATTGCATAGGTTCAAATTTCAATTATATCCTTGTTGATGATGATAACGTGACTGAAGCTGCTGACAATAACAAGTGCTATGATTTTAACCCCGTAAGCGGGTCCCATTGAGCAAAGAAATCTTGCAAGATGCTCAATACTATTATTATTAGGATCAATATGATAAGAAATATTGACGATTTGATTTACTTGATTCAATCCAAAGAAGTATTTGATTTGTAATTTATTAGATATTCTTCGTTCTAATACCTCAATAGTAATGAAGAGTGAAGAAAAATTTATATAACTTTAGAGCTCTAAATTCTAATACCATACATAATAAACAACATTTTTTGTTATTATTATTATTTTGTTCAATTGCATACCGATTGAACGACGAATAATATATGTATAACATATTATATATTTATATTTGATCTGATCATATTATACATCTGGACAATAATTTTTTTTTGGAGGAGGAATTGATTATTGCACGTTGTGAATTGTTAGATTTATTATTTTTAAAAAAAATTTTATCAATTGTATAATAAATAAAAAAAATAAAATATTTTATTTAATTATATTTGATATAAATAATTATTAAAAATTATTTATTTAAACAATTTATTATAAGTATTCCGCGTGCTTATGTCCGCTGGTTAGAGAATATGAAAATATCACCGGAAATATTTACTCCATGATTGATTTGACGTCAGATTTGGCAAAATTTCTTGTGATATTTCAATATCTATGGTAGGTCATCATGTTCATAAATTATTGCATAGGTTCAAATTTCAATTATATGTTTGCTGATGATGATAACGTAACGTAAGTTGCTGACAATAACATGTTCTATGATATGATTATAAGCCCCGTAAGCGGGTCCCATTGGGCAAAGAAATCTTGCAAGATGCTCAAGATTATTATGGACAATACTTGTATCCAAAGTTCAATCATATGGCGATACGTGTTAAAAATAAAATATAAATTAAATTAGATAAAATTCAGCTTAATTCGGGTTTGACCAGTCTAACAATTCCAACAATTTTAAGGACCAAAATAACCCTATCTTCTCCCTCTTCATTCTCTCTCTATCAATTCCCTCTTCTCTTTCACCCATGTCTCAAACACCATATACCGTCATCAAGGTTGCCGCCGCCGTTTACCACCACCAACTCTCTGTGATATATATACATATATGATTATACACATATATACACACACACACACATGTTTGCACACAGAATTGTCGGCAGGACATATACCCAATATTACACATAAATTGGGTATATATATAAATTGGTATGTGTTTGCATATATATATATATATATACATATATGAGAGATCGCGAGGAGTACCATCTACTGGACGGCGAGCTCTGATTTGGGGAACGCATGCGACTAATTTGGTCTTGTTTATAATTGGTGATGAGGTTGTGTTTGGTGGGGTGAGCAGTGGTATGTTTGGGTTTGTAATTGGCAGAGAGTTCTAATTTGGGCGAAGGCGGCTGATTTGGGTACGATCTTACTGCTTGGGGAGAATTACTGCTGGGCACAGGCTGACTAGAAAAAGGGTAGTGGTGGAAGCAACGCAAGGAAATTCCGTCTCTCACCGGGTCGCCTCCGGCTCTGTCGCCTGTCGCCACGCTCTGCGGCTTTTGTCTGATGAATTCCAGTTTCTTTCCCGGGTACCACTGGCTTTTCTCTGATGATGTTGTGTTTGGTGTCGAAGTGGTAGAGGCGGAAGGTGAGGTAAGGGAATGTTGTGAGGATGGTGCGGCGGAGGTCGGCGCGGCGGTGGTGAAGGAGAAGATGTAGAGAGAGAATGAAGAGGGAGAAGAAAGGTTATTTTGGTCATTAAAATGGTTAAAGCAACAGGTCAAACCCAAATTAAGTTGGGTAATATTTAACTTAATTTTAAATTTTGTTGACACGTGTCATCGTATAATTGAATCACGTACTCAAATTGACAAACTTCATCCAAATCAATCTAATAAGAAATATTCACTATTTGATTTCATTGATTCAATCCAAAGAAGTATTTGATTTCTAATTTATTAGATATTCTTCGTTCTAATACCTCAATTCGTTCAGAGAAATATATATATTTTTTTATTAAAAATTTAAAAATAAATTAAGAAAAGTGAGAGAAAGATGACCACTATCTGGACCATAAAATAGAAGAATTGAGACATTTGATTCTTAGTTAACTAAAAATAATAATGAAGAGTGAAGAAAAATTTATATAACTTTGGAGTTCAAAATTTCTAATACCATACATAATAAAATATTATGTAAACAACATGTTTTGTTGATTTTTTTTTTCTTTTTCAATTGCATACCAATTGAATGACGGATAATATATGTATAACATATTATATATTTATATTTGGTTGATCAAATTATTAACCGATACCATATTAACCTACTTAAGTTGTGAAATTTAAAGGAGATGTTATTTTCATTGACAATAAACCAGTAAAAGACGCAGAGTATGTCTATTCGATAAATTCAAACCACATTTATGTCCAAGATGTGAAATTTGGGGCTGTTTTTGTCGTCGTTTGACAATAAAGTCAACATACTTTGAAATCGATTAGAAAATGGGCTCCTTAAAGCTCATGTTTGAATGATACTGAACTCGAAAAATACTAGCAGTAGTCAGAAGTGGTCCAATTTCATCAAGTGATCTTAATCAACTGAGAAGTCAAAACGGTGCAGTCTCTTTCTGTGTGTGTGTGTTTGTGTGTGTGTGAGAGAGAGAGAGAGAGAGGGGGGGAAGATATTTGCTGGAGTGATGCATTGGAATGTGACGTCATCACCAATAATCTGGGAGACAAAACAATAGAGGGAGGGCATGTAGAAGATTCAATTGAAGGCACTACCTGTGGACTACATTCAAAGAAATGTCACCAAACTAAATTGATACGTGGTGGTTGTAGTCTGTAGTACCTCTTTAACGTGTCCCACTTTACACAGCATTTTTTTCAACGATTTAGACTTTAGGTTGTTCGTACTTGATATCAAGAGCGACAATTCATCGAAATAGATCTAAAACTGAACTATATACAAACCATTAGACAGCATACGAAGCATGCACTGATCAGCAACCATGGAAGAGAACAGAAAAAAGAAAGCGGCTCGAGACGAGGAGGAAGACACGGATGATGAAGAAAAGATGGAAAAATTCTTTGCAATCATCAGAAGGTTCCAAGATGTCCGTGCATATGGGATTATCGGTTTGCACGAAACAGAGGCGAGTCGAGCAGTGAAGAAGGTCCATATCCGAGAACCTGGCTGGATTCCTTCGTTCGAAATAGAA